ATAAGTATGCTAAAACAAATTATGATAGGTCATATTTAGGTCCGTGGAAAAAAATCGATACAAAGAATAATTACAACTAAAAAAAGGGTCTGCGAGCCCACATTTGTACAGCATATTGACGACGAAATAAAGAAATGTTAYTTTGAGTCAAAGTGTCCATCTTTGACCCAGTTACATCGTACTCGAAAAATCTAACACAAAATATGYYGYAATCTGTGAACCCGGCTTGCTGAGGTACAGTACGTCTTCGGACCCTCCACGGCACCGTGGGCAGGTTAGGCCGAACTGCGAGCATCCCGCTCCAATGAAGAATCGCCGGGATTATCGTGCACATTGGCTTGAGCGCCTTCTCGAGATCATCCAACGAGGTGATCGACTGCAGTGAGTCCCATACGGTTAGATCACCCTCCACAAGATCAATCCCGATCATGACCGAGTGGTTGCCGCCAATATTCATCGGCGTGTACACGATATCGGCCTCGGTCCATGGGGTGGCGTAGTCCGATTGTCAACCAAGCACATACCGAAAGATGGTACGCTCTTGCCTCCAATCATACGTACATTTCGACGGCAGGACACCCAGCTTTATAGCTGCATATGGTCCGTCTGTTCGTCGTATGCCAAAACCTGCAGTCACGTCAAGTTAGACTCTACGGTATTTCACAGGTACATAAATATATAATAAATTACATTTAAATTTCACTAACCTGAAAAGCGTATGGAAACCCATACATGCTATACGTCTCAACATGGCTCGAGTCCATAGCGACCTTCTGTTTGTACGCCTCGACCTTGTCTTTCAGAGCGTTCTTCAAGCTTCAGAGAGTCCTTTCAAAAATCATTGAACTTCAGTCATAATTACAGTAAACTTCCCACCGATCCACAATCCCAAGGAGGCTCGTGTCCATTTTCTGCTTCCTTTCCTTGCCCATCATGGCAAGCTCTATGTAGTACACTATAGCAATCTTCACAGCRTCCTCGTCATTTTCGAATGTGTGTTCTAAAAAAATTTTCTCCAACTCCRAACAYTTCACACTCGCMTTGTCTTGAAAATACAGAATTCTAAGTCTCCGGTTAYGAACATCMTCGTCTACCCTATTCATGGTGTGTCTAAGACCGGTTATTAGGTCGAACTCCCGCTTCCCAAAAGAGACCATATTCCCGAATAGGTTAAAGCTAATGAGGTYGTCTCTAGGTTCYTCCACCTCTCTAAGCAACAGGTGATGGAGCARCGGACCGTTAAATACAACGTTCATCCCTAAAATCGGACCAAAACATGTTTGACTAAACATGTCTAACTGAGAGGGAGTTAACCTAGCCTTAAGACGAGAAGAGGTTTTCCCTACGTGAGAGAGATTTGACAGCGCGGCCGGGAACCAGTCGTCTTGGTTGATCTTAACTGTCATATCCATGTCTCCTGTAACAAAACAAAACAATATTGCTTAGAAACGGACCGGGTTGAAGCCTGGGATGGAATCCAGAAAGAAGGATGGACCTTCTGGAATCCATCTTGGGACTCATCCCGCTTCGAAATGGACCGGGACGAGGCCCGAGATGCTCTCTGGATTCCATCTCGGGCCTCGTCTCGTGATAACTCTGTATTTTTTGAATTTCACCCTTACCATTGCTTTGTGAAGGACCTTCAAACTGGCCACATTTTACTCCAAGGGAAGGTACATGATGATCTATATCGATTTGAGTTGGAGAAAGCTGCTCCCACGTCCTCTGACATAACTGCATCTGGTGTGTCTGTCATCTCCTCTTCTAGTGTCAACACTCTTACACACAAAACCTCTTTACCTCATGATTCTATCTCTTTACCAATTAATTGTAATCTGTCTTTGTTTGATGTTTGGCATAGGCGATTAGGTCATGTTGCTTCGTTCATCTAATGTACCCATTCAAAATAAATCAAAATTAAGTATATGTCTTGCTTCTGCTACTAGCAAATGTCATAGTCTTCCTTTTGTTGATTCAAATACTGTCTATTATTCTCCACTTTCATTAGTAGTTGTTGATCTCTGAGGTCCTGCCTTTGTTTCATCCAGAAATGGGTTTAAGTACTACATAAGTTTTGTTGATGTTCATTCCCGATATACATGGGTTTTTTCCTTACAACAAAATCCGAAGCTTTTAAAGCCTTTACACTTTTCAAACCACAAGYTGAAAAATCTTTAAATTGTTCTATTCGTCGCCTTCAAACTGATGGCGGGGGTGAGTTTTCTTCGTTTATTCCTTTTCTGAAATCCCATGGTATAGAACATAGAGTTTCTTGTCCATATACATCACAACAAAATGGCATCGTTGAGAGGAAACATAGGCATATTGTAGATATGGGTCTCACCATTCTTTCTCAAGCATCTATGCCTCTTACTTTTTGGGATGACGCCTTCTCCACGGCTATGTATTTGATCAATCGCCTTCCTACCTCTGATCTTAATGGTAACTCCCCAATTGAAACTCTCTTTGGTTTCCAACCTCACTACTTGTTTCTAAAAACGTTTGGATGCCTCTGTTTCCCATCCTTACGCTCATATAATCAACATAAAATTCAACCTCGCTCCTCTGCTTGTCTTTTCCTTGGCTATAGTAATATTCACCATGGTTATAAATGTTTGTCGCCTTCTGGTCGTTTATACATATCGCGTCATGTTTTATTTGACGAAACTGTTGTCCCGTATCTGCAGTTATTTCAAAAACCAACCTCTCATTCTTCTAGCCCTACAATTCAAACTACACTCCCTATTATATCACCAGCTCCTTCATCACCATCACCTCAGTGTGACACATCAGTTGTTCCTGACCCATCTGACTCTTGCGAATCTTCCCCTAATATTCATGTTGCATTGCCAGTCAATAATTCTGAAAATGTACTTGCTGCAATACCTACTAATGGCTTTGATGAAAATTCTAGTACCACTTTACCTACTGGTGTTGCTTCAACTTCTCAAACAGTTTCAAATTCAAATGTTCAGTCCACTGAACAAATGCCTCCACAGAATCATCATCACATGACCACCCGAGCAAAAAAATGGGATTTTTAAGCCAAGGATTTTCTTAGCTACTATACTGCTGTTGAACCACCTACAGTAAAGGAAGCTTTAACCAGTCCACATTGGGTAAAGGCAATGCAAGATGAGTACGATGCCCTTCTCCGAAATCAAACTTGGTCACTTGTTCCTTTACCAAATAATAAGAAGCTCGTTGGTTGTAAATGGGTGTTCAAGGTAAAGAGAAACTCGGATGGTTCCATTGCTCGGTATAAGGCTCGGCTTGTAGCCAAAGGTTTCCACCAAACTACTGACATAGACTACACCGAGACATTCAGTTCCGTCGTCAAACAAGTTACCATTCACATTCTCTTTACTCTTGCCTTGGCACATAACTTGAGTCTTCGGCAAGTTGATATAAACAACGCGTTCCTTCATGGAATGCTCACTGAGGATGTTTATATGATGCAGCCTCCTGGCTCTGTTCAAGCTTCTTCTTCTCGATTGGTATGCAAACTACATAAAGCTCTATATGGGTTAAAGCAAGCCCTAGAGCGTGGTATGAACGTCTCATCAGTTATTTGCATTCCTTGGGATTTTGTACATCAAAAGCCAACTCTTCACTACTTTTTCGGTATGGATCTAATGGTTCCTGCTGCTTCATCTTGATATATGTCGACGATATAATCATTACCGGTAGCTTGACGTCTGCCATTGACTCTTTGATTCAACTTTTAAATTCTATCTTTGCTCTAAAAGACCTTGGGCAAATGAGTTCCTTCTTGGGCATTGAAGTTTCTTATCCTAAAACTGGAGGGTTATTTTTATCCCAAGCTAAGTATGTTACAGACTTACTTCACAAAACAAAAATCCACGAGGCTAATGCCTTATCTTCTCCCATGATAAGTGGCTCAATAGTATCAGCATTTCATGGTGATCCGTTTCATGATGTTTTTTTGTATCGCAGCACCGTTGGGGCCCTTCAATATGTGACGATTACAAGACCTGAGCTTACCTACTCGGTCAATAAAGTCTCACAATTCATGCATGCTCCAACCTTGACTCATTGGCAGGCGGTTAAGAGAATCTTACATTACTTGGCGGGCTCATTTGATCATGGATTACTTTTATCTCCGCCTTCTGATTTATCGTTACAAGGCTTCGCAGACTCTGACTGGGCTTCTGACCCAGATGATAGGCATTCCACATCCGGCTTTTGTATTCAATTCGGTGGTAATCTTGTGTCTTGGACATCGAAGAAGCAAGTTGTTGTCTCACGTTCCAGCACCGAAGCAGAGTACCGTAGCCTTGCCCATGCTGCTGCAGACCTCATTTGGATACAAATCCTTTTATCTGAATTGCGGCTGTCGCTTCCTCAACCACCTATCTTATGGTGTGACAACCTCAGCGCAGTGCATTTCAGTGTCAATCTTGTGCTGCATTCTCGAGCAAAACATGTAGAGATTGACATTTATTTTGTCAGAAATCTTGTTTTACAATATAAGTTACGAGTCACTCATATTCCCACTGCTACCCAAATAGTTGATATCTTAACAAAGTCGCTCTCTGCAGCACATTGGTTTGCCGGGGGGGGGGAGGGGTGGGTGTTAAGCTCACTCACTAGTCCAAACAAATTATTTATGTTGTAAATTCATTCATAATGTAACTGATTAGTAATTGTGATTAGTTGAATTGGTTATTAGTTGATGTATTCATAGTGGGTCTATAAATACCACTTCTTTTATTTTATTTTATTTTTTTAGGCAAATAAATACCATTGCTTTTCATGAATGAGGAAGAAGATTATTTTTGTGATAGAGTAAACTGAAATTGGGATATTCTTTGAACCCCAATTTTCAACTACTAGATTTATTAGGACCAAAATCACTGACAATAATTGATACAGGTTGTTATTTTCTATTGTATTCGTTACACCCACTTGGGTTAGTTAGAAAAATCCTCGGTTATTGTTCTTGTTGGAAACGTTGATAAGCCCTCACTAGAATTTACTCTAAAACTCACCAACTTTATAGAGAAGAATTTTGTTCTCTTATTAAACTCAAGAACATACAAGAGAAGAATATTGTTCTCTTTTCTTTCTTGATTGAAATGCTTCAATTTGCTTCTTTCTTGCTTGATTACAAATGAGGGAAATGATACCTTTATATAACATCCAAGAGACACATCTAAAAGACACAAAATAAATGGATACATGTATACATACTATTCATGTATCTTAATACATTATCTTACATGAACCTAACAATTCATGTATCTAGGGATTCATGCATGTGTATAGAAATGAATCTAGCTTAAATTCTTACAGTTCTTTCTGTTCACAATATTCTGTTAATATAGAGAATGGTTTGTAATCTTCTCTATATTAAGAGAATGGTGTGTATTTGATTCTTGTAAAAATAAAAATAAATACAATCAATTTGTGATAACCTCTCAAGTTCTGGTCAACGTTTAATAGATGACATTTATGATGTTTATGGCACATTTGAGGAACTTGAACTCTTGACCCTTGCACTTGAAAGGTGGGTAATTTTTTTTCCCCGCAAATATATGGTAGTTTGAAAGGAAAAAAAAGGAAGTGTGTCAATAATTAGCTATTAATATTCATGGCTTCCGTCTCAAAATCAATTGGAAATGAGAGGAGTAGTTCATGTCTGTTATAAACCTATGTAAGATACCTTATTTTATCAATGTGGGATGTTTAACATGCCCCTCAAAATCGTGGTTCTTTTGGCTTATGGATGTTGGCCGGATCCCATTTCTTTGGATCGGATTTCTTTGAATCGGATGTTCGTTTATTCACTGTATCATTTTCTTCTTCTTTCCTCTCTACTTCTTCTCAAATCCATTATTTTAGTTGTGTCTTACTCTATTCGGTTCCAATCCACTCCACAACATCGGGAGCCTTCATGGTTGAAGAAGAAGCAACAGGAAACATAATTGAAGATGACTAATTCTCTTGCAAAAATTGGGTAACTTTGAGTGCCTATATGAGTTTCAATACATTGGTAAGATTATAATATATTAGTAATTCTATATTTAGAAGTTTTACATAAGACTCTGGGGTCCCACATTTCTGATTATCACATAAATGAAACCATAAACCAAACTTACCTCCATTTGTTTTAGCCTAACTATATGGTTTCGAAGGTAAATGTTGTTTTATAATTTTACCTGTGTTTGGAAGTGATGGTAGAATCAGTGATTTTGAAAAAAGAGATTTATAATTGATTTTCCAAAATCCTCGTCCAAGTGATACCTTAAAAATCAATTTTAAATAATTTTAAGTTTTCTTAAAATCAAATTTTTTTATTTTTAAATGATTTTAGGTTTTCTTAAAATCAAATTTTTAGTTTGTCAAACATCATTAATGGAAAGGAAAGTGATTTTGACATGGCAAAAGTGTTTTTGGCCGTACCAAAATCACTCCCAAACACACCTATATCTTATGCGAATTAAATTTTGTCCATTAGGTTTTTTATGGGTATATTTATCGAATAGAAAAAGACTTTTTATAATTGAAAATATAGCAACAACTTTTTTGTTTGGCAAATATAGAAAAATTTTTATAAAGCAGATCTTTTGTTGTTTGTTATTTTATTTTGTTCTCATTATTTTTTAAATTCCATATATCTAAAGTGAAATATTTAGTCATGTTAAATATATCAAATAATATATGTCATATTAGGTATATTGTTTATAAAGTCATCTTTGAACTTAAGTAACGTTGAAGATTTCTTAATGACATGACGAAAAAATCTGGAACTTTGAAGCTCTAGATTAATTTAAGCAAATAAAAAACTTGAAGATTTGATTTATACTCTAGCAATGATATAATCACACTTAGAGTTAGGATACCAAGGGAATATAAAAGTTGAGAGATAGGGGGAGAGGGGGAGAGGGGGAATTAAATAAAATTTATCTAACCTAAATAATATGTTTATAGTAGAGTTTTTTTTAAGAGAATTGAAAATATTTTAATTGTAAAAAAAAAAGAGAGAATATGAAAGGATTCCAACCTAAATTTGAGAGAGTTCTAGAGTTATATGAATAATTGAATTTTTAAGAAAACTTGAAAAGTTTTAGTTGGGAAGGAAAGGATAAAGTAAAAAAGTTTTATTTTATAGGTAGCCAATTAAAACGGAGAGACTTATTAATATTAAATATATGAAAAATATGGTTCATATATATTAGGTATATCATTGATAAATCTTCTTTAAATTAAAGATTTTGGTCTAAGTATTTTTTAATTTATTTTCAGAATTTCTCAAAATAATTTTTATTATCAAATATTTTAGAAATGCAATTAATCAATTAAAAGCACTCTTTAAAAGACAAACGTCTGCATCAACAACAATTAATTAATTAAAAAGGTGATTAATAAAGACAATTACTCGAGGATAGGTTTAGATCATTTAATATTAGGCTCACCTAGCTCGTATGAGTACTTAATAGTATTCATGCCTTACCAAATTTCTAATCCAGTTATTAGTAGTTGAAGCTATCAAAGAAAATAAAAGGTAGCATTTCCAACATTAGCTCAATAGTAATAGTAAACATCTATCAATATCATATTTTGTGGATATCCCACAATTTCTATGAATTTTTATTGAACTAACTGGTCTAGTTCTTTAAAAATTCATTTACATTTTCTACGGCTTGAAGCAAGCACCTCGAGCTTGGTACAGTAAAAGTGATTCATATTTTCTCAACAATCTTCAAGGGATGAATTTTCCTCAATCTGGTTGGGATAATTTTTGCTCCAAATACCTTCATTGTTACCATACCACAAATTTTCATATCTCATATATTCGGAATGATAGTAGTTGTACTTGACTTTCCTGAAAACAACCATAATTGACATCAGAATTCTCACGATCATAAGAGGGGTAGATTGGGGAATAAGAATTAAATGATTTTGGTGGTCCTTGGGTGGTCGAAGACTCCTCATAAGGTCACTCGTAATTATAAAAAGACGTGATTTATTCAAGCATTTACATAAAGTCATACATCACTCAACGAAACAACGAGGAAAATAATACACAGAAACTTAAATCAAAAAATCAAGATAAATATATACAAAAGAAAAAAAAAACTCTAAATTAAAACCAAGCAAGTTCTCCACGATATTAAGTGAAACTAAATAATTGTCAATCTCCGACAACGACGTCAAAAACTTGTAGTAGAAATTGCTTATCACAAGTGTACGGGTCAAGTTTTAATATAAATGGTAAGTGAATATTGATATCGTTCTCTAGATTGAGTTTTTAGCTCACTCGAGTACTACAGATATAATCGCTAAATTTTATTTAGAGAACGAAAATCAAATGGGAGAATAGAATCAAAGCAAATAAACATGCACTGAAATAAAGATAAAATCAATGGGGGAAGATACTAGGGAATTGGTTTCATCGAGTGAGTCTATGAACCAATTTCTTAATTACTCAAGATTGAACGAATTATTAATTCTATAGGTCAATAACTCTCAAATCTCAACTGTCTCTCCCGAGCGAAAGCTAGGTTTCCTTACTAATTAAGAAACCAATATCCCTATCTAGTTTCAATAACAAGTAAAAGCTTTAATGAATTATAATTAAGTCTTTTAACGACCTCTAAAAACTTCTAAATCTCCCAATCTTAAAACCCTTTTAGTTATGAATCCCAATTCGAACTCTAAACCACCTCTCTCGAGCTTAAAATTCCAAATCTAAAATCAATCACATAGAAATTAAAGTCTAAAATCAATCAATCTATGGCTAGTATATTAAAGTCATTCAGCACATAGAAACATAAATAAAATATTCAAATGCATTCAATCAAGAGAGTCAAACAATCAATCCATAAAGTTCAATGGCTACACATCAATCCCTAAGATAGGAGGTTTAGTTTCTCATATTCAAGGTAAAACAATAAAATCACAAGTAGAAGTCCATAACAGAACAAGAAAAATCAAGGGAAAGTAAAAGAAACTAAATTTGGCGTGTCAATCGTCTGCCCTTGAGTGCCCTTCACGATCCAGAGCCTTAAAAATCTATTTTCTAATCACTCTAATGGTCTCATTGCCCGCGGCAGCGTTGAGACGCTATAAACAGGGTTGAGATGCTATAAGTCGTAGCATTGTGATGCTCTGGATAGGGTTGAGATGCTATGCAACGTTGAGAAGCTATATACAAGGTTGAGACGCTACGACAGATTTTTCAAGGACGCTTTAAGTTCATGGCGTTGAGACGCCAGAGATAGCGATCACTTTTACTCCTAGTTTTCTCTCAATTAATCCCATTATGTTTCATTTCCTCCCAGTTGTTCATCCTTACAAAATATATCTTATGTGCACGTAAATCTATTATAAAGAAACGAAAACTAATAAATTATTCCAATATAAATAACATGAAATGTAACACACATAGTGTGCTAACAACTTCTTAATGTAATAAATGGATGAAATATGTTGTATTTTGAGCAGGCCACTCAGCCACTTCAGACTTTGAGCCATCTAAATTTATTTATTATTATATACATTAGAGGTAAACATAAATTAATAAAAATTAAAAAAACCAAAGAAAAACAATAAATACCCAAATCTGCATAACTCCAATTTTGTTCGAGTAATTAGACAGGACTAATGGATTTAGAAAACCCCGTGTTTTCAAAAGTGAATCTAAAAACGGTGAAAAAAATTAAAAGTTTGTTTTCAGATTTTCGGCTTTTTTAGTTCTACTTTTTGAGTTGTATTTTAAAATTTGGGCCTATCAAACACAAATCAGTTGTATCCCTTTATCCTTGTCTTTTAAAACATAAAAATTGAATCCAAATCTCCTACCAAACAGGGTCTTAATTTTCAACACCAAAATTGTTGAATTCAACAAACAGTTTCTTGAAGTCGTCTGAGATATATTTCGTTTCGTGAGATATAGAGAGAGTCCAACTTCTTCCGCATCTTGAATGCTGAATCTTGATCGATAACTTGGCGAAGAACATTATCGCTTAAATTCAAGATTATTCAAGAAAGGATCCTTTTCTTCATCTTAGATCATTTGTGGCAGTGTCGATTGATCAAGTACAGCCTGCAAATACCTTTAATCTCTACCATAAAACTTTTCCATTTCGAATCTTGTGTTAAGAAAATGCTTCAGAACTGAAACATATCCACATGCGTTGATAGTATCAAAGTTTGTTCCTATATTTTAGGATTAGGAATGGATTATTTTGTTATTCAATGCCTTGTAATCGTGGAGCAAGTTTAGGAATTTGTTAGTAGTTGTTATTTTTCAAACTTTAAATATTTTAATGTTTTGATTATTCAAATCAATTAAATATTATGTTCTTTGACTAAAAAATTTTGCAATATTTTCAAAAAGTATGTTACATGCTCCATGCTCCATTCTTGTTGTAGCAAATAATACTTTGCTTAACTCTGCTATAGCAACTTTTTTTCTATTTTTATGGTTCAAAACCAACCATTGGCATCAGAGCCTAAATTCTTAAAAGGCTGTGTCATGGATATCGAAGCAAGTTCCAGTTTCTCTTCAATTTCTCCACCCATGTTTGATGGAAACAACTACCAAGTTTGGGCAGGTCGTATAGAGGCGTATATGGAAGCGTTAGATATTTGGGAAGTAGTGGAAGAAGATTATGAAATTTCTGATCTCCCAAACAATCCTACCGTGCCGCAGATCACAAAAGAGGGCGGGTTGATGCAATGAAAAATGAAATGAAGTCATTACATGAAAACCACACTTTTGACCTTGTCAAGTTGCTTAAAGGGACAACCGCACTGAAAAATAAGCGAGTTTATAGAGTGAAACAAAAAGAACACACCGATCGCGTTACAAAGCAAGACTAGGGTTCAGTCAGAAAAAAGATGTTGACTTCGATGAAATTTTTGCTCCTTGTGAAGATATCTTCTATACGTGTAGTTATGGATTTGGTAGCAAGCCTTGACTTGGAGGTTGAGCTGATGGATGTCAAGACTGCATTTTTGCATGGTGATTTAGACAAAGAGATTTATACGGAATAGCAGGAGGGATTTGAGGAGAAAGGCAATGAGAATCTTGTGTGCAGATTGAATAAAAGTCTTTATGAGTTGAAACAGTCACCGAGGCAGTGGTACAAGAAGTTTGAGTCAGTTATGGGGAAGTAAGGCTTCAAAAAGACTATTTCTGATCATTGTGTATCTGTGCAGAAGTTTTCTGATAATGACTTTATTATACCGTTGCTTTATTTTGATGATATCTTGATTGTTGGCAGGAATATTTCAAGAATTGACACGTTGAAGAAACAGTTGAGCAAATCATTTGCCATGAAGGATTTGGGGCCAGCAAAGAAGATTCTTGGAATCCATATAGCACGTGACAAAGCATCCAAGAAACTATATATGTCTTAGGAGCATTACATAGATAAGCTGCTTGAAAGATTCAACACGAGTAAAGTTAAAGCAGTAAGTTCTCCACTTCAACAGTTGGGAGTATGATGTACGCCATGGTGTGTACTAGACCAGATATTGCCTATGTAGTTGGTGTTGTTAGTCGGTTTATGTCCAATCCGGGAGAACGGCATTGGGAGGCAGTAAAATAGATTATGAGATATTTATGGGGTACTTCCAGTTCGACTATTTGATGACATTTGCAGGTGGTGCAATGTAATGACAGTCAAGATTACAGAAGTGTGTTGCACTTTCTACGACCGAGGCAGAATATATTGCAGCAGTAGAGGCGTGCAAAAAGATGTTGCGGATGAAGTGATTTATAAATATATAAACAAATATGTACATATGCCTATGTCATTAGGAGAGGGARGGAATAAAACAGCACGCAGATTGACGAGGAAATGAGAAATGAAAATCCTTCCGTTTGGAGGTGCCTACAGTCAGATACAGTGAATAGTTGGTGCCACTGTTTAAGCCACTGTTTAAGCAAGATTTTTCTAATTTGCTTCTCCGGTTTGTGAGGAGTTTAATTGCTTGTGTTCCGTGCTCGTTTAAATTTTTATTTACTTGTTATTTCCTATTAGGTTTAGGGATAATTGGTCTATAAAATTATGTGTTTATCCAACACGAAAAACCCAAGACTCATAGAATTTTTTAAGGTTATAATTAAAAATAAAAAAGGATCACCAAAATTTCGTGATCCTGAACTTATTCCTTCCCATTGAACTGACAATTCTGGTTGAATCTTACTGCAATTTCACTCTGGTATGATCTAGAATAGGTATAAAACTACAATCCACTATCTAGATTCATATCCATCAATCCATCTGTGAGTTGCCTTTTATGATAATCTCTTTAATTATCTCTCCAAACACAAAACTCCCATTAGCCATTACCCACACCCATGTGCAAAGATATATAATTGCATCATTACCCACCTTGATCACTACCAAACCAATCAGGGCAAACTAAACTTTTGGATTGTGATGAAAATGGGTTGGTTTCAATTTCAACAAAACCATATAAATAAAAAGATCAATTGATCTCCCTTTTCCATCAGAAAGAATTAGCAACAAGTATGGCTTGCCTGCACCTGGCCTTGGCCTGATTCAGCCTCTCGCTCAGCGTGTCTTCCTTGACCGCCGCCTTCACCATCGCCAAATCCATCTCCATCAGCCTCAGAACTCTGCACAGCTCCCTCACCATTCTCTCCTCCACTTTCCCCTCGTCCGCCAGAATGTCCGCCTCCTCCCTCGCCCTCTCCGCCACGATCTCTCCCACCTTCGCCAGCAGCTCCGTCGACCCGAATTCCCTCTCCATCAGCCCCTCCAGCTTCTCCAGAAAGTCCATTATCACCCACCCGATCGGCTTCTCCACGTTGATCTCCTTCGTCCTCTTCCACCCGATCTCGAAGTTCGGCGGCTCCGGCTTCGCTATTTCCTCTCTCCGCCGCCCCTCGCGGACGATCTCGGATCTCCTCCGCTTCTCGATTGGGAAGCTCGAAGGGCTGTTCAGGGCGCTGAAATTGGGGTCTGGGGATGGGAAATTGTCGGAGTCTGGGGAGGCGCATTTGATGGAAACGCACCGTTTTGATGGGGTCGGGAGGGAGGGGCTTGTGAAATTGAGATGAGATCGAGGGAGAAGACGATGGAGATGGAGATGGAGATGGAGATGGAGGTGTGGGGAAGCCATGGCTGAAGCAGAACAGAGGGACGAAGGGAAACTTTGTAGATTATTAGATAACGTTATTTGTTTGCATTTTCTTCCTTTAGATATTTCTTTTCTTAATAAAATAAAATATCCTATTGGAAAATACATAAATGCTATTCTTTTTTTTTTCAATAGAAAGACAAAATGTAAAAAAGAAGTCGCCGTGCAGCGGTCAATCAATATCTGGGACACTTACGTGACGAAAATAAAAATAGTAATCACATTAAGTTTTTTAAATATAGAACTAAAAAAACGGAGGTACAATTTTAAAATGACAACTTTAATGATATACATCAATAATATATCTATAATATTTCTGTAATATATTTGACTATTGATATATATATGTGATATACTGTTGATATGATGTATGATATGCTTGCAATATGTATGTGATATATATTTGATATGGCTGTCTGATATACTTGTAATAGGTAAGTGATATACATCTAATATACTACTGGTACGAGTGTCTGATATACTATTGATATAAGTGAAAATGTTTGTTATATTTGAAAATTTTAAAAACAGGTAACATATTTTGAAATACATACCAGACTTTTGCTACCCACTGCAATTTCCTTAAATTTTTTGTAGTAATCTCATCAGATCGTAAATCTTTCTTTCTTGGTATATCTAGATAACAGGTAGGAGCACAAATTGAAACATTCTTGAGCTACAGGGATAGTTATTAATTCATTAGCATTGCGTACCAACATTCCTCATAGAGTAGCTGTTAATATCGATAATATAAACTTTATTATATAGTCATTTCTGGACATTCAATGTACTCTACGAATCGAGAAATATATAGAGTTGAACATGGTCAAATAAGAAATAAAGTGTTTTTATAAAGAAAAGTAAGCTCTAAAATTTTCAATAATGGTTAGTATAAATATATGTGTCGACCGGCCAATACCTAAAAATTGTTTGTATCAAATTAAAAAAAAAAAGATTGTTGTACTATAAAAAGAATGATCGATTTTTAGGAATCTCTCTTCAAGGAGAAGGAACGTTGTGCATTTTAAAAAATTGTAAAATTACGGTAGTTCTGAAAATATATATATCAGTACTATAACATATACTTATATAGTAGTATATCAGACACTCATATGTAGCTTCGATTCAGAGCGTTTGTATCGAGACACCCAAGACATTGGTGTAATCGAGTTGGTTTTTTGCGTTGCACCGTCTGAATACAAATCCTGAATGCAAAAACAAAAACAAAAACATCTCAAATTGCAGTGTTATTTCATCTCAATTATTTTGAATACAATGAAATCCCTTCTGCGTATTTGCTCAAATTGTGAAAGTAAGGCCATGATGATATCAATATTATTATCAATGTGCAATACTTTCGTTATTTTATTACTCTTAAAATTTTTGTATCACTAAATATTTGGATCAAATCTATCATATCAATATTAAAATTTGCTCTAAATTTCTGGGAACACTCTGTTTGAGTTTAAAATTTAATTTTGTAACTATCCATGAAAAAAATAAAGAAAATTATGGTTAAAATAGATAGATTAAATGTCGTCAACAAAATTGCCTACAATTTTAATTAGATCATATCAAGAATTGAACATTTTATCAAACTCAAACTACCCAACCATGCACCTCAAATCCTGCACCCTAAACATAGATTACCCAAATTTAAGCTACACAATGCCCCAACATCAAAGCTTAACAAATCCAAGCTACCAATACATAGGCCAAATGCCCTTTGAAACTATGGAAAAAAGAAACTCTTGTCCTCCCATGTCTCACTTATAAGCTTCCATGGAAGAGTATCTTAAGTCATATCACTAAAATTACTAAAATTGTTGTATTCTACGATTTCTACTAGATACTTTTGGGAAAAGAACTATTTTTTTCTGAAAAGTATCCAGTAGAAATCGTAGAATACAACAATTTTAGTGATATGACTTAAGATACTCTTCCATGGAAGTCGGCTAGGAAGTCTAAAGCTTGTATTTCAATGCTAGAAACAGTCTCAGGGAGCTTCTTACTGCATAAAAAGATATTGAGCAGGAGATTGTAGGGTTCTACCATCGTCTGTATGGGGAGACTTCAGGGCATAGGTTCTTGGTGGAAAATCTGCAATGGGGA